GGTTTGCTGTTAGGATGTATGAAGAATGAATGAGGTTGTGATATGGTTTGCTGTTGGGATTTTGTGGTGAAAATGAATGAGGTGAATTAATGGTTAGGCTTTTGCAAAAAATTGTGCGAATAATTTTGATAATGTGGTGGGCAGGGATGTTATGAACTGGGGGCTGACCCTCTCTAGCTGTCATATCCCCTCCAAAGAACCGGAAATAGTTGGCGGGGTCCTCTCCGACATGCTTCTACTAGACTTGTAGCATCTGTTGTTGCAGTCCCATGTCTTGGCCAACCTCCTTGCTTGTGGGAAAAGGCTTCATCCACGGTATTATACATCAAAATTCCAAAGGATTGCCATGGATTGCCGGATTGCCCTTCTGATCCATTCAACTCAATCATTCATGATGTCTACTTCTCCACTGGAAGACGACATGTGTACATAACTGGGATGAACACAGAAAGATCGCCCTCAGTCACTACCTTCACATAGCCTAGAGGCGAAGATGCCGACGGATTTGGTGGTAGCGCCCAGTGGTCGGCTTGGCACGGACCAAACAGCAGTTGGGGTCCTTGCCTTGCCGTTGAGGCGTCGCCGCTTCTGCATTGTTGGTTGAATTGACACCATCACAAGAGCCTTCATTCAACATCCGATTAAATAGGGGTGAGGCTGCAAGCGCATTGTGCTGTGAGGTCAACCAGTGTATGCCATACGAGTACTTACCTAAATCGGCTACTTTGTGAAAGGGTTGAAACCACGGAGCGCCGGAGCTGGATTGCTCTGCTCCACCCCAAGGATAAAACCATCATGCCACATGCCCCTGAACTGCTTACCGCGTGGCACTCGAAACACAGGTTCAGCCAGTGTTCTTGTGTCATCCATGGACGAGGTACTACCAAAAAGCACTTGGACGTCAGTGTGGCTCTCCTTCCTCGGCAAGTGGCGCAGGGCTGAGAACTCTATCTGGAAGGCTGGACTGGGGTGCAATCTCACCTAATTCGATCTTCCCAAAAGTGACTGTTCCATTGCGTTCCGCTTTCCGTTGCTCAGCTAGTGCCCTTTAAAGGGAGAGGAGTTCAACGGACCAATCACCCGCACTCCAAGCATCATCGTGTCGCTGCAAGGCTTTCCAAACGCTCTCTTGTCCTTCAAGGGCCGGTTGACCGCAAACTCGCCTGGTGACCGAGTTTCCAGAAGCAGCTTCAGAAAATCCACCAGGCTGATCAAAAGAAGGGTGCGAGTCATTAAGGTCGAGACTCTAGATGACTCTAGGAGCTTTTCTTTTTTGATCCAGGGGGGCCATGCTCAAAATCCCCCCTTTGTCGACCATCCTGAGCATGTCCACCGGTGGCCGGCCTCGGTCAAAGAAGAACTCCCCACTATTTCGGCAGAGCCTCAATAGCAAGCTAAATTCAATAAGGTGACTATGCGTAAATGCATAAAACAACTGTTCTCTGTTCTCTTGCATTGTGATGTTTATCTCAACGAATCTCAATGACATGAGCGGACCCCATCCAAACCAATGCATTTCAGTCTAGCTTCTTTGTCGAGCGGTTTGCAGTAGATCTCTGTAGTTTAAATCGGTCCTGAGTCCTGAGATATGATCGACACCAACTAGGTGTGCCTAGGCTGCCGGCGCATAGTAGGTCCTTGACTTGTTGACGGACTCGAAAGCCTGCCGTTGCACTGCACTTTAGCCTTGTCCACTAGGACCCAAACCTGAAACCGTTTACTACCGTCATACCGTCCCCTTTGATCGTGAATTGCGGGCTTATCATGGCCCATGGCCTAACCTAGCATCCTCTGGAATCACGCTCCATTCGCGCATTCCAATGGTTCCCACCTCTGCGGTCTCAGCATCGAAGGCCAGCAACGTGATCCCGCTCACCGTGCGGTCCAGCCGCCCCAGGAGGTGCAGCTTCCGCCGGAAGGTTCGCTTGGCGCGGCCCATGAGCGTCAAGCCTGGACGCCCAGACTGAGGGTCTGGAGATGTCTGGAGCGGGTCACGGATGCGTAACAAGGACGCTACAAATGGAGCAAGGACGCTACTAGTAGCTCCTGGCCTTACTAGTAACAAGAAGCTACAAGTAACAAAGAGGAGCCCAGATCCAAGAAAGAGCCCATCGGTTGTGGGAGATAAGGAGGCCCGACTGGAGAGGGAAAGGGAAAAGGTCGGAGGGTGTTCATCAAATCAAACGAAATCCCGTTTTGAACTGAGCCCCTAATAGCTTCTTGCTCCTAGTAGTAAGGCCAGGAGCCTCTAGTAGCGTCCTTGCTCCTAGTAGCGATGCCAGGAGCCCCTAATAGCTTCTTGCTCCTAGTAGTAAGGCCACAAGCCTCTAGTAGCGTCCTTGCTCCTAGTAGCGATGCCAGGAGCCCCTAGTAGCTTCTTGTTCCTAGTCGAGGGTTGGGGGTTCCTGGTGGAAAAAAAAGAGTGCGGTCGGGAGTTGGGATGAAATCAAGTGTCAATTCTAACGGCGCATCAGGGACAGGCCGCATTTGCGGATACGGCTTGAACATGCTTGAACCATGCTCTAGTACAACTCAGCAGGTCTCTCTCACTCTGCAACAGTTCGTGCCATGTTTCGACCATATTTCTGATGGGTTGGAGACTGGCGTATTTAGATGGTGAATTCCGACCCCTTTACAGCCTAGGTTAATCACTCGCTGTACAACCTCACACTCCACCTCGCGCGGTGATGCCGCGGTCCTTCTCGTTCTGTGATCTCCTTGTGCCAATGCGCCGTGGCACCCGAGGGGTTGTAGACCGCTGCCCAGTTCTCCCCCTTCGCCAAGACTGCCAGACCCGTCCGATACAGGTCCTGAGCCGCAATGCACCCCATCGATTGCTCTCTACTGGAGCCTCCACACAGCCCGCCTGCTTTGGTCTTGCGCATGGGCCCCCCTTTGACCACCTGCAATGGTTTGAACTCGTCATTCTACAAGTAAGGGTCAGTCAATGTAAGATTTGAGGCCACGGTAGAATAACAATACGACGTGCCTGTGCTCATCCTAAACAAATAAGAGATAAGATTGATATATGTTTCCTCCCCATGTCTCTCTCATGCCCTACCAGTTGCCCAATCGGAAACAAAAACATCGGACAACGTTCAACACCATAGGTTCACCTTTTCACCTCCTCGACCCGGGCTTCTTGCATGAGCGAGCCACGGGATACATGTCATCTAACTCCTCCACAGTCGGAATATCTATGAGCGCGGCAGGCAAGGCTACACGCCTGCATATGGAGAAAGTGGAGATTCGCGACGCGGGTACGCCAGCCACTTTGGGACCATGTTCGACTGATCCTAATGTCTTGCGTGCAGATGAGTTCATGAATCTTGTGGTCACCTTCTTCCAAAAATGTACAAAAATGTGAAGTGGTCAAGTGAAAGATGCTCATTTTGCCACAGCATCAACGCTCTCGAGGCGGCCTTCGCAAGACAGGACTCCTGGCCCCCGCCCAGCATAAGGCCTGGTGAGTGCAAAGTCTATGATTGAAATTTGGGGAACTCCGAAATTGCCAGTCCTAGTCTATCTGTATCAAAGAAACATGGTTGGAAAAAAGTCAACTCAACCTTGGTGGCACAACTAAATAGTTGTTTGGTGATATGCTACGATTGCACCTGCCAACACATCCACCACAAACCATGAGCTGTGTGTGCTCTGGCCTGCTGAAGGCTCAAAATGATGGTGAGCGGTAGTCCAAGGAGTGCCGTCCTGCGCAGCACAAAACAAGTACGGTGCAGCGAGCTCTGACTTTCCTCCTGAGCTGTAAACAAGAGTGGAAGTGGGATTTTGATATTTCACTCAAAAGCAGGTCTGTGGGTTGCAGAAAGGTATCATCGGCATATGTGTATGTAAATGTATATACAGCATATAATTCTAGATGGGAGTTATACCACATGTGTAGACATGAAGCCTCTGAATGTTGCAGGGTCATGTCATGGACACTGCACAAACAGATTCATCGACGAAGTCCAAGCCTTACTCGTGATTGTCCTCTGAAGCCACTCTGAGACCTTTGAACTTACTGTAGCTCAATCAGCTGCAAAAAGTATCATCAAGCATGAGCGGCCAATACCCTTCCCAACCAGGAAGCACATCATGGAACAAAAAGATGTTGGCTTCCACCAACATGCAGGTATGTTAATTGTAGAAGTGTGAACCGTTTTGGACAACAAGTGTAGCTCCAACAATGACTGTTGATCAAACTTCCGTCCAGCGCAGATTCACGTCTACTCCACATCCTTTCAGCCATGCCGTCTGCTCCACAGACCGGGCTCAACCCCACGGACTGCCATTACCCGACGCACCAAATTTCCCCGCCTGAAGCCCACAGTGTTAAATTTTGGACACGGCAGACTTGCCATCGCGTGGTGTGCTCCGACTGATCAATGCTGATTGATGTCATGGGTTGGCTTTCCGAAATCGTGGATGTTTCATGTACAGTATGCTTTCCTTCTACTCGGGGGTGGAGGGCGTCTCCCTATTGTGAGACATTGTCCCCTGTAACGGGCAATCTCCAAACCAGGGCTTGTTGACAAGCCTCACTCGAATCGGTGCTACATAGGCTTTGGTATGCTTTTTACGTGACGTAAGGTGCGGCCTTTACAATTTGGTCATTTCCGATGTCAGGAGGGCAGCCTGAGTTTTGCAAGCTCAACAACACGATGACTAATTAGACTACTTTCATTGCACAGTCTAATGGAAGGGGAGTTTACTTGGAAAACAAGTAACGAAGACACTATCTACATAGCTTATATAATTAACTAACCATAAAGCACTATGTCTGCTTGGTGAAGGGGTTCTTGCTTGCTTGGCGGGCGGCTCCACACTTCATAGCCCGCCCATTGTCCCTTCTGATTGGCACCCTGAGCCGCTTTCTTGGAGCCAACGCTTCGGATCCACCGACATGGAGCCGTGTACTTCCGACCATGCCGAAGAGCAGTTCATCCAGCACCCAATTTCCCGGGACCTTGCGCTCTTGCACAGCTCTACGCCGCTGGCGCCTGGAGGACGATTGGTCTCGTCAAAAATCACCAAATCGGCCAAGCTTTTCTTGGCTGCCTTGGCACCGTCCAGCAACCCTGGGTGGAACCTGGTGACATCTCCAGGTCGTGTTATCCAAACCAGCAGGTCTAATGGAACATAGTCACAAGGCCACATATTGTCACATTGCCCTCGACAGGTGAATATGTCACTGCAACACCCGGGCTAAACAGGCCTTGGACTACAACCACACACACACACCAACACGCGTGTGAGTAAAAAAACAAAACTGAATCCACTTCTTGTTCAATAACGAAGTCACGAATCCACGAGGCACAAGCATTGCAAAAATACTTGGCGTCTTTGCTTTCTGGGGTCTGGACATCCAGTGTGCTTGCACCAATGGGCCTCACTTCGTCACCAGGAATGTCTGCTGGGGAAGGGCCTCGTAAAGAGCTCCCAAGTTTTCACACCTGCCTGCAGTTGATGGACAAATACTGTTTGGGTACAAAACGCAGGATGTTCACCCCTGCGGTTCTGTCCAACACTTCTAATCCTCTGACGGCCTCAGCTGAGGCGATAAGGGTGTGGCCTCCAACCTAGTAGCAGTGGCCTCCAACCTAATAGCAAAAGGAACCCAATAGGCTGGCCTCCAACCTAGTACAGTGAATTATATATATATATATATATAGAGCAAATTTGAGTGATACCTGTGTTCTTCGTCCATGTCGGACACAAACAGTTGACTCTACAAAGGCCCTTCGAAAGTTCGAAAGATCAAAGAAACAAGCTAGGAACAAGGGGCCATGCCAAGGCCGGCTGTACAGTGCCCTGCAGCAAAGGCCCCAAAAAAAGGGAAAAGGAAACCGTGTAAACAGGCCCCACCGAAACAGGGGGGGAAAGGCCAAGTCCTCCACGTGGCTCGTAGGGCCGGCTAGTCTAGACGGCGTCGAAGCCACAAGGCAAATGGAGGAAAAACCGACCAAAAACGCCCGGGCAAAATCGACACAAAGGCACCCGTCTCCTTGGGAGATGGAAGCGGAAAGCCGAACAGAAAACAAAAACGTCCACCACGCAGGCATCAAGGAAAGGGGGCTCTGCACCTCAGATCGTCCTTGCTGTCACCCACTAAGTCAGCTCAGCGCGGCGGCGAAGGGATGCGGTCAGTGGCTCCAGAATGCCGGCCCACCCAAGTGTGTGGACAGCGGCTTCGGCCCCTGCTTTGACCGCCACCCCTGTCTGGGCTGGCCAGAAGTGTGCTCTGGCATCCTCGTGCATAAGGCGGCGCAAAACTTCACCAATGGCAATGGGGCGCACACCGCCATCAGGTTTGGGCAGGGCGACCAAGCTAGCTCCAGCAAGGACAGGGGCGACGGCCGGGCAAGCCCGTCCCTGCACCAGCAAGTTCACCACCGCCACAAGTTGGTCCATGAGCCCTTCATCCACTCCAGGTCGCAAGGCGTCCCGGATGCGTTGAACGCGAAGACCGCTGGGCCCAGGGCGGTGGCTGCCGGGAAGGAGCGCAACGCATTGGAGACCACGGCGGCTTCCACTCCTGGTGCGACAGGCAATTCATGGATGCTTGGTGTGGCTGGTGGGGGACTGTGCGGGTGAAGGGCAGCAAGCTTGTCCCGTGTTGCAGCTGTAGCTGTGCCCCTCAGACGAGACGGACGGGTGCTCCACAGGCCTCCGCGCTCGCCCTCCAACCAACGTTGGAATCCACTGTAGTAGCGATGGCCTCCACCCTAAGGTCAAGTCACGATTAATAAACCTCCCAGTTAATCCGAGCCCACAAAGCCACCACAAATTGCCCAACTTAAAAGTAGGATTGGTGTCTAATTCCCCCCCTAATGGTCTAGTTGGGCACCAGAAACCCCCCCAGTTAATTGATCCGAGCCCACAACCAGGTCAATTTTTCGTATTGCTGCTGCTGCTGCTGCTGCTGCTGCTGCTACTACTACTACTACTACTACTACTACTACTACTACTACTACTACT